AGGTTAGAGAGATTTAATTATTGTTTGAGAATTAATTAATTTAGAGGTAAAGGGTTAGAAGATTTTTCTAAACCTCTAAAATCTTCCTAAACTTGATTTGATGAGTTCTCTAGTTTTGAAGTTTTTTAGTTTATTAGAATTTTTTTATATTAACAATTAAATAAATGAAATAGGAAAAAAATATTTTTTAAATATTAATTTTTAGAGTGAGAATTTTTTAAAAAAATATAAAATATATGAATTTTAAAAATATTAATTTTTAGAGGGAGAAAATATATAACTTATTTATTTTTTAAAACAATTAAAGAAAAGAATAGCAATAAATTTTTTTTGTTCAAAATATATTAATTTTAGAGTGACATTTTGTAAAAAATTTATAAGAAATAGAAATATAATTTTTAAAAATATATTTTTAGAGTGATAGTTTCAAAATATATTAATTTTTAAAAACATTTATTTTTAGAAGAAAAAAATATTCAATTTTTGTTTTTTTTTAAAATAAATAAATATAAATAAAATGTATAAAAAATAATAATATTATTTATATAATTAACCCATGTCACCTTCTCCTCTCCATATTAAACATTCAAATAAGAGAAAGGTTTAACTTCTTTCTTTTTCCCTTCTCTTTCCTTCCTTCTTCCTTCAAATCCTTCCCTTCCATCTCTTTTCAAACTCTCAAATAAAGCTGTAGTAAAACATAAAATATATATTTTAATAATTTTCTTTTTTTAGTATATATATATATATATATATATATATATATATATATTATAATATAGAGACTAATACAATGTTAATTTGTTAATAAATGATAAAAAATTTTAAGTGTGTCTTATCATTTTTATTAGCCTTTTTTCATTGTTAATTTATTTTTAAAATTAAGTAATATGAGTTGAGTAAAGACATTAAGGGTTCACTTGATATTTAGAATAAGAGAACTTGATAGGATAGCTTTTTCTATCTTATACTGCTTCTAACATTTGTTTAATTAACAAAATATGTTAATTTTATCCCAAAAAAATGTTAGTAAGACACTTTTTAACACATTTTATTTATTAACTAAAATTTATTAAATATTATAAAAAAAATTATATAGATCTTACTCTTAATTTAATATATTTTTGCATATTTTCAAACTTGTTTTAGTTTTTTTTATAAGATATAATTTTTATTAAATTCTTTTACTAATTATAAAAAATAAAGACCTGTTTTTAAATATATTAATTGTTAAAAAAAAAAACTATATACATTTTGTTATAAGATTTGTGTTAATATTTCTTTACTCATTAAAAGTAAATGTATTTGCAATTGTGCAGTTAGGCCACAAATATCCACAGCAATCTAGCTACAATACATCACTTTGTATGGAGAATGTCTAGGAGATTACCATCTAACGTGTGAACCAAAAATCACGATGCTATGTTACACAAGCATCACCAGTATCAGGACACGAACTGCACATTTGGTGGCTTTCTCTACGCATTGAGTTTATATATATAAAATGAGAATGAGTGAGACTCGAGATTTACAGTTCAAAAGCATAGATTGCATAAGACTGGACATTTTTACTACATTCAATGAATATGCACTGCTGTTTGTGTTAGTGAACCCCGCATGAATGGTTCAAAAATTTCGGAGCATATTTTGGCCTCATTCTAAGAACAAGCTCATTGAGATTGCGTTCGCGTTATATGATATTTATTAAATAAAACTCTTCATATGAGTCTTCTAATATATGTCAAGAATTTTATAGAGTTAAACATGTATTATAAGAGTATGAGTATGTGCCCAAATACGGGGGCAGTTGAGAAATAGAATCTAACAGGAAGACTAATTATTGATAAACATAACAAAAAGAAGATCCAAATTAATTAAAAGCATATAAATGCTCTCCCCGCAAGTAATATTAAAGAGTACGAACTGCGTGATGTGACAAAACCACCAAAATGAACTATGTTGTGCTTAACGTATTTCTTATTTGCAGTCATATTTTGTGAAGCAGTAATTCATCCTGAAAAAATATTTTGCCTCACTTATACAATGCTGAATTTTACTATATAAAAATTATAATTATAATTAATAAATCACTAATTAAGGAATCAAAAATAGATTTTTTTTGTTAAAAATTTAAAAATAGTATTTATCATGAATTTTTTTAACTAACATTGGTCAGCAAGATTCTTTTTATATTAATATAATCATCCAATATTATGAATAAAAATTGAACACAGCCGTCGTTGGTTTTCCTTTTTCAAAAATAGAATGACTCAACAATGGAAAGCTATCCATTTTAGCCGTCATTATAGCTAAAATGCTTTGTTAGGAGACAGGACCATCTAATTAACTTGGATATATAGTATGAGGAGGGAACTTATATTTAACTAGATTTTTTTTTTATCAATTCAATAAAATATTTATTAAATTATAGACGAAATTGAAAAAAGGATTAAAAAGTTTAAAATTAAAGTTGTGATTTACTTTAAATTGGCTCGTGCCATCCTCTTAATTAGCGTTATGAGATATCAAAATAAAAAATTAACAAAAATGCATAGAGCAAAACAATTTTTGTAAAAGTACTAACACAAAAAGTTTATAAAAATGTAGAGACTAAATATATATTTGTCATATATTTTTTAATTCTAATAAATAAGGTTAAATTTGATATTAGTCTTCAATATGTTTTTAATTAATTTTAAATTTCATAATTCTTATTTTTTTTTCACTTAATAAAATGACCTGGCATGTGAATTTTTTATTCTGCTTTGAAACGTTAATCAGCATTTTGGTTATTCAGGTTTGATCACACCTTTTGGGATATTAATTATTTTAAATTACATGAAACCCGTAAATGATATGATTTCCTGACCACTTACTTGCTCACTTTTCCTTTGCATGCCATACAGCAAATATGCATGTAATTCGGAGACAGTTGATCATCTATTGTGAATGCATCGAAGCAGGTGACTTGTCTTGTGTCTGGAAACTGGATCATTTTTACTAGCCATAGAGATTGTGAACAAAAATGTTATAGTGGTTATTTATTTTTTCTTGTCTGACATGCAATTGCAACCTAATAGTGTGGTTGGTTAATGTATGTTGTGTAACAGGTATTTTGAGACTCTAGTTCTAGTTCTATCAATCTTGAAGGGTCAATATTATACTGATAAAACGATCATAGTGCGTTGGAAATGAAATAAAAGAAGGGAAACTAAGTAGTAAAACTTGTAGCCCTTGCAAATAAAGGTCATAATGCTGATAAGTAACAATCTCATGATTTGTCTTCAGGTGTGAAACTACGATATTGGCGAGAACTTCCAACGACATTTTCTACCCAGAAGTTTCCTTTTTTTTAATACTGCTTTGGCAATGCGTGCTGGTCACCAATTTGCTTAATTGTACCTCAAGAAGTATTTGACTTATTTTTTAATTAGATTGATAAAAATGCTTGTTTTAAGATATCTCAAATTCTCAATGTGACTACACAGATATATAGAATTGAATTAGAAGGATATTAGAGAATTGATTTCTCATTTTATACAAATCTCAACCCAATATGCCCCTGGAGAATGTAATTAGGCTACAAATTAATCGATTGGCTAAATGTTTATTCTTACACAACTTCTTAATTTGACAAAACATATAGATGGCTGAATTTGCAGGTATCACAAACTTGATGTCTCATCTTGCATAAGACAATTCAGTATAACAACGCACGTAGGCTGCATATGGATTGGTCATATTCTCTTATTCTTACATACCTTTATTTTATTTTCTTTTATTGAGAAGAATACAGAAATTTTTTAATATCTTTTATTAATTGATGCTAACCAGTATGAACATAGGTTAAAGAAGAAAAGTACAACCCTATTTTTTTCAGACGGGAAGTATGTTCATTTGCTGCATATGAACAAATATAAATTTGTCTTTCTGAATCACCCTTCTTTCTAACTTCACCAGCTGTTCTGCTTTATTGGAAGGTCCAGTTTGTATAAGTTTCTAGATATTATAGAAGAAAAAAATTAATATAAAAAATAAATAAAACTCCTCCCGTGTTTTTCTTCCTTTGTAATTTTACTTGTTGATTTCATTTAGTCATAGATAATAAGCTAGGTACTAACTTATGATGCTAACAAAAGTTTCAGAATAATGGTTTTACTTTTTTAAAATTGATTTCGATTGTTGTACTACATATTTTGTACATACATGGGGAAGCAACAGTGGTCTAGTACAATTGCTATAGAAGAAGAGCGAGAATCTGGTTTGATGTTTTTTCTTTTTCTGCATAAGCTTATTTAAATTTGTTTACCATTACCAAGCATCTTATACAAAAGGCATATGCTTTTTTCTCTTGGGGCGCGCAAGGTACATCTGAAAAACTACCTTATTGGCTTGGCAAACGAATATATACCAACCATTTTTTAAATTGATAACTCTAGAAGTTTAAGGTTCTATACACCAACAACCATTCTTGGTCAAGGCTCAATGCATCCCTGGAAAACATGATCAAATCTCAATTCACTGGGAAGGTGCGAAGACAAGAGTTCACTCTTCAGTCCTTGAGTTTACTATTATATACTTTTTTATTTTTTATCAACAAATAGATAATGAACAGAGTCTCCCATACAACACATGTAGGAGGAAGAATGAATCCTGAAACTAACTCCACAAAACTATCGTCTTCTAGGGCAACAAAAATTACTCATCAGTATGTTAAACAAAATCATTATGATCATGTGGGTAAGTTTAGTACACACAAAGGGAAATAAGTGAAAATCCTTAGTCATAAAGGTGAGACAGGATTACATATTGAAGTATTTGAGTTCTTATGATTCAGAACTGAAATGTCCAAAAACTAAACATTCAAGTATTAATGATAATAAAACAAGCTGATGGATCGATACATGTGCCACTCTTACGATGAAGAATATTAAGATAAATGTGGAAACAAATTAATGAGGTCACACATATGGCTTCAACCCTCCTAGCCAGCGAAATTGCTAACGAAGAAACCCCAGGTCGTGATCTGATTTAAAATTTGATTGGAACTGGTCTTTAAGGTTGGGTCTTATCACTTCTGAATTGTTCCACCAGTGCTGGTTTCCTTGGATTGCAATCAAAGTGTGCTTGGCAGAGTTGGAATTCAAAGAAAGCACAGGATGCACATGTTGCCACGTTACACCCACATTTTTAGTAACAAAGAAATCAATATTCAGAAACGACATTTTGATTGGAATTGGTCTTTGAGGGCTCTGTCTTCCCACTCTAAATTGTTCCACCAGACAACTTGTCCTTCGATTGTAATCAATGTGTCCTTGGCAGAGTTGGAATTCAAAGGAAGCTTCCTCAGCTATGGGCAATAATCTACTGAGATGAATTTTTGGGAAGGAAAAGCCAATGCTCTCTAGCTTCGGCAGGAAATAAAGGGCAAGATGTGTAAGATTTGAAAATATATGACTACCAGCGTCCTCTCTATCTGTCCCACTATCTTCCTTCACCACTTCTTCAATGGAATCACACTTTGATTGTTCATTGTCGATAAAGATTCTAATATCGACGCCATTTCAAGTTGGTCCTTGATTCCATTAAGATAACAACATGTTGAGCAATCCCGCAATTTGGTGGAGTGAAGTAGTTTATGCATGCCTAAGGTTGATAACTCAATCCACAGTTCCTCCAACTTCGGTACGAACTCCAACTTCTCTAAGAATGTTTTCTCTCCCTCTTAATTTTCAAGTTTCCATCTATTTACAAATCTAAACACTCTCAATCGCACCAAACTTTCTATCACTTCCAAAGGAATTATTTGAAGATCAAATCCAACCTTTTCCATGAGCAAGACCCTTAAATTTTCCAAATTCTTCAGATCAGTTGGAAACCTTTTTTGTATACTTGTCATTGACAGATTAAGGAATTCCAAGTTGATTAACTTGCCAATTTCCGAGGGAAGATGCTCAATTCGGATTCTTGACAGATCCAACACTTTCAATTTTGACATAAATTGGAGATTTGAATACTGATTAATGTTTTTCCTTATACATAAAGTGATGAGATTTGGACACAATGGCAATCGCCAACTTTCTCCAGCATTTATGATTGAAATCCTCTCTACAGCATTTAATCTTTCAAAATTCTTTTCTGATTCTATTGCTAATGTTTCTCCCTCAACAATTACTTTGTCTTTATTTTCATCTTGATCACGGAATAACCATAATGCCATATCTCTGATCACGGAATAACCATAATGCCATATCTCTGATCACTTCATGCATCGTAATGGAAGGTAATTCATGAAAATCATCTTCAACAACGCTCTCCAACAGACATGAAAGCTTTAGTTTTTCAACAATAGATTTTCCTTGCACATGCATGTCATATATACTCTTCTTTGTGTTATCTTTATCAAGAAATCCCTCTCCTATCCATCGATAAATAAGACCATCAACTTCAATTTTAAAATCTTCTGAATATAATGCACAGTATAAGCAGCACAGCCATGACATACATTATGCTCACAAGCCTTAAGGTTCTAATTGGCATGGTTCTACAGAAGCATGCCAGATGGTATGTCAACCGCTGTCAAAGGAGGAAGCATCATCTTCATGCAGATTAACTTAAGAAGCAACTAAATTAATTCAGTCTGCTTTTCTTTTCCTGAAAAGCGCATGTGGAAAGATCCTGTGATAAAGTGTTGACTCGGAAGTCATGAGCAACGCTTGGCAATGAGAACAACTTTTGCAACCAATTGGTTTTTAAACTTGAAGGTGAGCCTGTAGGTGGTTCCTGCTTTGCAGTTTTATTAGCATAGTAAATAATTTTCCAAGAGGAACATGGAGTTATTGGTTGTGCATTGTTGTTGGCATCCTTATGTTGTACCATAGTTATGCTCATGCAAGAGTTCTTTGAAGCTGTGCAGCGGAGGCTTATGAATGAATATATATCTAACACTATCCACACTCTTATTCTTCCTCTTTAAAATGCTACGGTACACTACGCAAGAAAATTTTTAACGAGAAAAACGAAACGTCTTTCTTTACGTGTAAAGTTTATAGTAGCTTCCACCTTATCTATACTTTTATAAATCTTTTTTAGAAGGCCATGCGTCAACTCCCTGTGCCATTTTTTCTTGCTCAACTACTGTGGCTTTGATGTCATTTTTGTGCAAATTTCTAATGTTTTAAATTAAAGCATTTTGGGCTCAACCGTGCAAAGCACTAGCCTGTTATATAGTTCTCTGTAAAGGAAATTCGTGATAGCCTTTTCTTATTTGCCATGTTAGGCACGTGTACAGAGGACTCAGCATTTCTTCACAGGGGTTGCTTCTTGCACTCCCTTCTTTCCACTTGCAATCTTTCTTAATTTGTTTTAGTTTTTTTCACAAATACCCTTATTAATATTGGGGTTAATTTTTTTTAAGTTAATATAATAATTACTAATGATTCCTATGCAATTGAATCAATCTTCTTATAAAAACTAGCAAGTATCTTTTTTTTGTTCTTATATATCAATCATTAAAGTCATTGTAATCATGTAAATGTTAGTAATAAATTATTTCATTGATTTTTTAGATTTAGGTGAAGGATGAAGATTTACATAATAAATTTTTTTATTTATATTTGTATTCATTGTTAAAATGTTTTTTTTTTTTTAAATTTAATTTCTAGAATTAACAAGTTTTCATAAACAAAGTTTCAAAAACTTTTTATATTTATTGTTCTTATTCATATAATAATAAAGTATTATTACTTGAACTATTTCTTATATTTGAGAATATATTTAACGAGCATAATTTTTATTTAAAGATTATAAGAACTTTAAAAATAAAAGTATATAATTAAAGTTAGTTGGTGATTACGTGATTAATTAAAGAAGTTACATATGATTTATATTTAATTCTAATAGTTTAAATAAGATATATTAATCTATACAAGTCAATTATAGAAGTTTATTTTTCTCAAAGTTCATTCTCATTTAATATGGCCTTATACTCTTCTACATTCAAATTTCACTCGTTAAAAATAAAGAGAAGAGGAAGATGAATAGGAAATTGGTGAGATAATGAGAAAAGCTGCTTTGTTGGTGGAAAAAATTGAGATGGAAGTGAACAGAAGATAAAAAGAAGTCAAAAAATAAACAAATAAAGAAGAGAGATGATTTAAATTTGCAATATGTTTGCAGTGAAAAATTATAATTGTAAACAAATAAATTCAAAAGCAATTTGATTTTAAATTCTCTTAGTTTCTTTTAAGTGTATTGTAATCAAAATGAATGAATAAATATTGTAAAGCATAAATTCAAGCAGGAATAGTAGAACAAAATAGAAACAGTATCAATTGAACATAAAGTTTTATAGAAGTATACTAAACAAAGACGTAATTGTAGAAAACAAAAGCATAAAATGAACTAAACTAGAAACAAATTGTAGAAAAAGTAAACGTACGACTCTCAGCAATGAACAGCAACCATCGTGAGTCTCTTAATAGCTGGTGTTTAGCTTGGTGCAAAATTTTAAGGCGTAAAGATTTCTAGGTGCAGTGTTTGGGTGCAAAAAGTCATCCTTGATGATGTCAAGCTTCTTAGTATTTATAGGCAGATAGACCACTATCATTCGCCTTTTTTTGCTGGCACTTCTCAATAACTGCTTTCAACCGTTGTTACCCATTATCCATGACTGACTTTGATCATGCTGTTGATTGTAACTTTTTCTATAACTGGTGGTAACTGCTCATGAGCCTTATAGTTCTTTTGGTATCACTTTTTGAGCCTTATCATGTCTCTCATAGACTTAGAATATTTTTCCTTTGATTTTCTATTTTTTTAGCAATTCTAAGAAGAATCTAAGAGCTCGTTTAGTTTTGTGGACTTAAAATAATTTTTCTCTCAATTTATACCTTTCAGCAATTCTGAAGGGAATCTGTGATCTCACTCAGGTTTTGTGGTCTTGAAATATTTTTTTACCACTTCCTATTTTTCAAGTAATTCTAAGGAAAATCTAGGACTTGAAAAAACCTCTAAAATACTTCGAAATGTAATCTTTTCAACATACGACTTCTCTAGACTCTTTGAAACTCCTTAAAGAGTAATTTTTTTCGACATAAACTATATAGGACTTAGAATATTTTTGTCAATTCTCCCTTTTTCGACCAACTATGGCTTACTTCATTCTGGAGACTTAGAAAAAACTTCCAAAATTCCTCAAAATGGATATCTTCCAATAAGATTTTAGTACATAGATAATTTTACGAGTCCTTAGTTTACAAGTACTAAATACAACATAGCATAGCAATCTTATAAACATTGAAAAAGAGAGATAAGAGTAACAAAGAAATCGTGAGAAAATCTCCCACCAAACAGCTTTTGATATAACTGAAAATCATGAGAAGCGTTCATAACAAAGAAATCGGCATAGTATCGTGGCACTCTCACAATCGTCGACATTTTGATTGGAATTGGTCTTTAAGAGCGCTGTCTTCCCACTCTAAATTGTTCCACCAGTGAACTCGTCCATCGATTGCAATCAATGTGTCCTTGGCAGAGTTGGAATTCAAAGGAAGCTTCCTCAGCTTTGGGCAATCATTTACACGGATGAATTTTAGGAAAGGAAAAGCCAATGCTCTCTTGTAAATGCTCTCTAGCTTCGGCAGGCCATAAAGGCAAAGATGAGTAAGATTTGAAAATATATGACTATCAGCCTCCTCTCTATCTTCCCCACCATCTTCCTTCACCACTTCTTCAATGGAATCACACCATGAAACTTTGAGATGCTCGAGAAGCGGAGCATACCTCAGCCATGTCAAATGAGTTATTGAATTGCATTTACCAACAGTCACCCTTCGAATTCGAAGGTTGTGAAGAGGGCATGGGCCAGAGATGGACGAACCTTCCACTATATTAACTCGGTAGAAACCTACATCTTCTAGATTCTTCATTGCCGACAAAGATTCTAATATCGACGTCATTTCAAGTTGGTCCTTGATTCCATTAAGATAATATAATGTTGAGCAATCCCGCAATTTGGTGGAGTGTAGTAGTTTATGCATGCCAGCTAAGGTTGATAAGTCAATCCACAGTTCCTCCAACTTCGGTAAGGACTTCAACTTCTCTAAGAATGTTTTCTCTCCCTCGAAATATTCAAGTTTCCATCTATTTTCAAATCTAAACACTCTCAATCGCACCAAACTTTCTATCACTTCCAAAGGAATTATTTGAAGATCAAATTCAACATCTTCCATGAGCAAGACCCTTAAATTTTCCAAATTCTTCAGCTCAATTGGAAACCTTTTCTGTATGCTTGTTTCTGACAGATTAAGGAATTCCAAGTTGATTAACTTGCCAATTTCCGAGGGAAGATGCTCAATTCGGATTCTTGACAGATCCAACACTTTCAGTTTCGACATAAATTGGAGATTTGAATACTGATTAATGTTTTTCCTTATACATAAAGTGATAAGATTTGGACACAAAGGCACTCGCCAACTTTCTCCAGCATTTATAATTGAAATCCTCTCTACAGCATTTAATCTTTCAACATTCGTTTCTGATTCTATTGCTAATGCCTCTCCCTCAACAATGACTCTGTCTTTATTTACATCTTCATCACGGAATAACCATAATGCCATATCTCTGATCACATCATGCATCTTAATGGAAGGTAAGGCATAAAAATCATCTTCAACAACGCCCTCCAACATACATGAAAGCTTTAGTTTTTCAACAACAGATTTTCCTTGCACTTGCATGTCATATATACTCTTCTTTTTCTTAGCTTTATCAAGAAATCCCTCTCCTATCCATCGATCAATAAGATCATCAACTACAATTTTAAAATCTTCTGGATATAATGCACAGTATAAGAAGCACTTTCGGTGTGTTTCGTCTGGGAGTTTGTCGTAACTGAATTTGAGAACACCAAACACTTTCTCTTCCAAAACGGGACCTACCCAACAAGAACTCCTTAGATCACTTTTGGCCTGCCTCCATGCTTCAACACTTCTCACTCCAGCCATGGCACTTCCCACTGTAATAAGTGCTAATGGCAATCCTCCACATTCTTTAGCCATCTCCCATGCTAGCTTTTCAATTTCTCCATGACACTTCCATGTGTCTTCACCTACTTTTTTACAAAACAATTGAAATGCTTCTTGCTCTGATAGACATTCCACCTTGAGTTTCTTCTCAGCTTGCATTTTAGCGCACACATCCTCAAACCGTGTGGTGAAC